TTTAAATTGAAATTGCTGATGTAGAGCAATTACTGAGGAGGCGCACATGCTACTTTTGGCAAAAAAAAAAGAGAAATTAGCGTTTCAAGCTGCATCTAGCCGTTTGCATCCCTTTTTGAATCGCTACTTTGACCAAGCACCCTTCTCTGATTAGTTGAGAAATTTGGTGGCTGGCACAAGTAACATCTCTATTAGCACAGAAGTTGTAACCTACAAACCGACTCGAATTTTTTGCAAAGATATGCAAACGATTTACTTTTATCAACTAAAATGATAGTTAATATAAGACAAAATTTAACAACACATGCATTATCTAAGTGAAAAAAAATAAAGAATATTCAATACAAATTCAGGGTCAACGAACTCGTGTCATTCACCATAGATCATATGTTACTACATTGTTAGAATAACAAAACGAGTAGTAGTAGTAATATGTAGCGTTGTCGAGTCTTGTAATTCTTCATCACTTCACTAAATTTCTCAGCGGTACTCGTACATTGCTTAACGCGATTAATTGCTTTCCATATTTTTCGTAAAGTTCTCCTCCTTCCTAGAAAATATTTGTTCATTTTTCCATAACCTTCATGTTGATTCATCTACTCACAAGAAAGTCCCTTGATGGTTCGCGCATAGTGAGGGCAATCCTACGTCCACGTATATGATGGGACAATACAGCATGTTTCCATTCGTACCTGAAAAACAAAAACAAGTTAAACAATAACTTTTGGTAGTCTAACAGATCCGAGATAATTTTCTTCAGTAAACCCTTCAACAAGTTCTCCAATCTTGACATGCGCTGTCCTCAAGATACTACTATAGATATATGCTCAGACAAAAAAAATATCGGTAGGAGTGGAGGGTTAAATATGCAAGCACGATTTGCAGCTTTTTAGCAGTACTGCTAGGGCGTAGCTGTGCAGGCCTTAATTGCGTGTCAGCGCATCTCTCTTCTCTAATCTTTCTCTTGGCTGTGATCCTTCACTGCTGCTCGTAGTGCTCGCCAAGGTGCGTACATTCTCTTACGGACATGCACGCGCAGACTATTTGCTGTTAAAATTGATGTATTGCTAGTATAAA